CTACCAAAGAAAGGAAATGGGGCTACCAGTACTCAATTATATTCTCTTCCAGTTGAAAGCTTTGTTCCTTTTGCATAACCAACCATGTATTTGCTTTTGCTTTTTGTTTTTGTGATTTATAATGACGTATTCGTTTTCATATAGGATATTCTCAAACAACTGCGATCAATGTTTTTGGCTTTTCATGTAGAAAAATTTTGCGGCTAGCCAATCCAATAACTTTGAGAGCAATATTACAGAAGCAGACTAATCTTTTTAGATTTCCAGCACTATCAAATTCAAGATTGAAAAGGATGGCACCATAATCATGCCTCTTTATCACTATTCTATTCAGTTTTTATTTGGTTCTAGCCAAAAATCAATTCATGTAAACCTAAAAGCAATTATTGGTCAATTATTTATTTGCTCTACGAGGGTTCCATTTAATTTAACTTGACCAATTTTACTAAGTCATGACATATTCTCCATTGTATTTTGCTCATAACCATTTTGATCGTCTCAATGCATTGTTAGAAAGTAATTTGACCTATTTTGAAGCCCAAAAAGACTTAATTTTGCAGTTAGCTATTTCGACTTGAAGATATGCAAATAATTAATGACTATTATATATATAAAAGGTTTAACCAATAATCATTTGCAAAAAATGCGTTGATGATCGTATATGTTAAGGGTACGTAGGATTGTGATTGAGCAGACTAATAGAAAGATAGTTTTGTCTCACAGGGAGCTAAGTGATACAAAATAAAAAGATTAGGGGGTTAAAGTGATAATAATGGTATATATATCTCTTACGGGGATTAAGTGTAATGAGAACATGTCCGAATAGTCTTGATTGTATAAGGTTCTACTCGTCTTAAAAATCAAACCATGAAATCAGAATATATACTTTCATTTGTTTTATTAAAAAAATAGCTTCTGAAATTTCTTGATTTCAATTCGTTTACTGTAGTTTAAGGGCACATAAATTGATCTTCTTCAAGGATAGGACCTTCCTTCTAAAGGAAATCACAATAATCTATTTTCTTTCCTTAGTTTGACCCTTCAATTTTGAAGACACGATCCCTTTCACAGTATCCACAAGAATTTGAAAAATATGCCGACTGAAGGGAGTTCCTTTTGCTTCCATAATCGAAAGATATGTTTCCATAAATGATCATTGCAAACTTCGAGCAATTTTACTGTACTCCTCACAAAGTTGGACACGGACCCCATATGGTTTTAGGAGGCCCGGGGACCCACATGATATTCACTGCATCTTCCAAATATGAGTTTTTGTTTTTTAATATCAGAACATAGAGATATTTAATTTCTATTTCTAAAATATTATTTATACAATATTGTTTTAAACCTTGAAAGATATGCGTGAAGGCTCGATATACAAGAAAACTACACTGTATATGACAATACGCTAGCTGTACATACACGTAAACTGTTCATGTTTTCTTTGGTAAATACAAAAAAAAAAAAAGAAATACACTGTATTTTTATCCTTATACTATATAAAAATAAGTCGTGGTCAAAGTGAGGTTTGAATTTCAACCACATGGACAGGGGCATTTTAGAAATGTGAAATGTTGTGGAGTTTTTTTAAAACTTTTGGTCCAATCGAGAGCAGCATGTGTTTAGATATATTTACCGAAATGTCCTTATTTTTGATACCTTTAAAGTTTGATTTATGAAGACATTTGAATATTTTTGAAAAATGAAATTATTTTGCAACCGTTTTTGCATCGAGTACAACTCATATAAACTTATGTGTTGGTGTAATTTCTGAAATAATGTTATAGACACATTTAATTGGAGTGTACCTTTTGTTGTGCAATTAACACATTGCTATAACTAGTCGTTGAGGATATTTCTTTGTGAACCAACTTATGTCTGCTCTTGGACGATTTTCAATTGACATCTGTAGGGGTCTTTTAGGAATGGTAAAATTGTAAAAGTATTGATAAAAGAAAGTGTACAAGTGTGTGTTGCAATTAGAATATACTATTATTAATTTTGTCATATTTGATGATTATTTCTTTTCAGGATATACTATTATTTGTTCAATAAAAAAATCCTCTTTAACCACAGGCACCAAACGCCCGCGCGATGTGTGGCACTCCCCCTAGTACGACCATATACTGTACATACACGTAAACTGTTCATGTTTTCTTTGGTAAATAAAGCTTTAGTTTTTTTTTTTGGACCAACACGTCCCGTTGTTAACAGAAATATGATTTAATCCGTCATTTATAATTGTAAGGAGCATAATAACATTAGCATATGCCCAACTGAATGAGACGACAGCAATTTTACCCATTTTATTTATCGCATACAAAAACATACCAGAATCTCAATTTATATCCAGCCATATACATCTTAATTGAGTTAATAACGATATAACTTGGATAGTAGAGCTGCTAGACAGTTGTATAAAAAATGAACTCTTCGTCTATTCAAATGTATCCAATTTAAAAATCTATTATAAATCTCCAAAATGAAAACATAAATTTAAGCTCTTAGAAAATTAGAATAAGAACTACCAGCTTTGAGAAATTAAATTGATCTCTTCAAGAGAAAAAAAAAACTTAAAAAGAAAAAGAAAAATTGGATGTATGCATGTTATTCTGGTAGCATTGAACAACAGAATGTCAAAGTGGTATCAATAAGGAATTTTTTTACAGATGTATTCATGATGAAGGACAACATATTGACCAAAGCACAATAAAGGGGTGCTTTGGTGGTATACTATAGAAAAGAAGGTAAAAAATTGGTGCTAGTGAAAGAACAACAAATAGTTCTTTTCCTTAAGTTAAGAGCAGTGTTTTAAAAAGTGAAGGCATTGGACACGACATTCCATATCTGTCCAAACGGGGCAAAAGCCTTAGGGCGTGGAGCGTAAGTCCCATAAATTTTATTTATATTTTAAATATTTTAAAATATAAAAATCCAAAAATATTATATATATATATATTATATATATATATATATATATATATATATGCGTGCACGTGTGTATATAATATTAAAAATACCAAAAAAAGTATTAGATAAAATAAAGAAAAATTGTAACCTCATATCTTCATAAGAAAGTAAAACTTGTTTGTGTGACTAAAATAAAACATGCTTATATGACTAATGCCGTGCCACGAGTAGAAATCCAACAAACTACTGTAAATTTCGATGATTAATTGCATAAAAGGTTTGATGTCATCCAGCAAACAATGATCACAGTTGCAAAAACTCTTTTCAGAGCACTAGTAAATAATATTTGTGAGTTTTAATTATATCAAAGTGGATGTCTTTCCCCTATTTCTTTGGAGTATCCTCAATGTGAGGCATAAAGTCTAAAGTTTCACCTGCTTTGCATCATTAAATTCTAAACTAACATTTGTGTTCGTCAACTTAAATTTGTAGGCCTGCATAAGAAAGGTTTTCAAAAGTTGCAAGTTCAGATTGAGGGTCTCAACTTCCTTAAACAAAGGACGAGAAAATCCAGGTTGGATGTTCTTCTGGAGTTTAAAAAAGGGAAAAAAGTGTTGGTGTTTTAAATGCATACATTTTTTTACACCTTGAAGAAAAAACTCGCCCGCCCTATGACACTAATGTCCCATTGGACCGCTTAGGATCAAAATACTAGTTAAGAATCACCAATCTCATCTAAAACGTACACAGAGGATGACTGAGAAATCATGTATTACTCTCTTCCTAAAATAAAAAATTATAATTTGATTATGACTCGTGTGATGGATTTCTGCACAACAACTTACTGTATACTTGGATATGGCATGAATTTCATGCTTTAACTAACACCAAATGTGAGTGACTACTCGCTGTGAATTCTAAAGACAAAGTCATGAAAGATTGCAAGAAATCCTACCGTCTAGTACGTATCAACTAAAGCTGCTGCAGGATTTGTGGATTTGGACAGCGGGCTATGCAATGTACTAATGAATTGTTCAACGCCCATATGAAGCTATATATTTCCTTGTGACTTCAAGGTTATTCAACTTCTGGATGATGAGAATCAGAAACTAGCCGCAACCACCCACAGAGATGGAGTGTAATTTACCACTTACATAGCGAGTGCTGAATAGTAAGTCTTCTTCGTTTTATTTGATGACAAGAAACATGTTGTCGATATTCAAAAGGGTTAACTCTGCATGTGTTTAGGTTCTAAAGTTAAAATATGATTGAAAAAATATTTATGATCTAATAAATTTTTTTCCCAAATAATGATGTATACAAACAAACCCTATGAATAGGCCAATTCTTGGCGCGTGAAGACAAAAAAAAAAAAAAAAAAAATCATATACCGAGCATGGAACCTTTATGTAAAATTGGAATGCTGTTTTGTAAGGAGAACAGATCCTAATTAGTCTGGTGCAAATAACCTCCACATCAAAATTGGAAAGATTGGGCTGAAGATTATTTTTAAAAAAATTTAATCATTTATTGTAATATTTTTGTGACATGACGTATGTAAGACAAAATGATGATTCAAAATTATTTAGAGAATAATATAAAAAAAAATTCTTTTTTGGCTATAAACTTATATGACCAAAGGAGCCATTAATTTGTATATATTGTTTTTTAATTTGGGATAAGAAGAGTACTATTGATCAGGTTGAAAAGGTAAAAGTCTGTTAGTTTGACAGATAATTCCTAGTTCGTACATTGTACAGTAAAAATATCATAATCAAAGAGCACAATCATCTGATGATGATTGGATGGTAACAATCTGTAATTTCTAATTCCAAAATAGTAAATTTGGATACGCAAAACATGCAAGGTGAATAAGAAAGAAAGGACTAAGAAGTATAATCTAGGGTTGTTAGAGTAAAAGAAGTTAACTGTGGGAAGTGTACTAATGTCCTTTCCTTCATTCCCCTCGTGAAAGAAAGAACGGTTACAAGAAGAAAGATAAGTAGTAGTACATATGAGACAGGCACTGTGGTACCCTTAATACCAGGGGTATTCTGCCCTCCTTTTACTTTCTTTCCTATTTATAGAGGCGCAAAGAGGCCCCTGATATAGCCTGGCTAGGTCACTCCAAACCAAACAAACTCTTCCTTTCTCTTTCCCTTTCTTTCTCTCTCAATCTCTGTTCATCCGGCTCTTTCTCATTACTAGTCCTCCAGAAGAAACGGTACTGCTACTGCAACTACTTCCTTCCTTTCTTTTCCTACTGCAACTTCTGCTGTTGCTGCTGCTAGCAGCTGCAACTTTTTTTTTTTTTCCTGCTGTTGGTGCAAAGAGTTATTAAAGGAATTTAAAAAGGAAAATATATATATATATATATACATATTTATTTATAAGGATGGGAGAAGAAGGTAAAGGTGATTTTGTTGACAGAAGATAGAGAGCACAGATGATGAAATGCATGGAGTCTTGCTGCATCTCACTCCTTTGTGCTCTCTATGCTTCTGTCATCATTTTCAGCCGCTCACTCTCCCCATTTTTTTAGTTTTTTCCTCTACCGCTTTTCATCTCTCTATCCTTCTCAACTAGCTCTCTAGCTTCAGGTATGTATATCTAGTTAGTTAGCAGTAGGCTACTAGTAGACAATTATATTCTTGCCCAGATTTTTTAGTTGAATTTCCCCCACTTGGTCGTAGACTTGAGAATTTCTATCTTTTCTTCATATACTTTACAATTTTGTGCTTTGCTTTCTTGTTTTTCCTTTTCGAGCTGGGATGAGGGATAAAAGGGATTCATTGATTGGATTATTGCATGCTACGGCAGTCTAATGTCACAGTTTGTGCCTCTGTGTTGTTATCTTATGCTGTTTTTGAGTCATGATATCTGAACAAGATCTGGAGGTAAATGAATCTGGGCTTTCTTGTATTCCCATCTCTTGGAAAGTGCTAGATCAATGGATACATTTCCTCTGCTGTGTTGTCATGATTTCATTGGGGAATTTGATTTTTTTTTATCCCTTCCTTGGGGAACAAATGGACTTAATTTTATTTTAATGTTGACTTAGCAATTTCTGATTGGTTTCTCTATGGCTAATCAAGAAATCCCTTTAAAATCCTCGCTTAGTGTGGCTTTGCCTCTTTGCCAACACGTATTCTCATGCTTATTTGATTCATCTTTATGATTTTGCATTACTAGTTACCAAAATCATATGGGTTTGGAGAAATTTGACCGAGCTGGAGCGGTAACATGCCCGGAATATTTGTAATCAAGAAGCAGGTTATAATTTCTGATGAGCACATCTCTTGTGGCCATAGTTAATGTATTTCCTTTGTGAGTTGGTATTTTCTTCCCCCTCACTTCCTGACCGAGAGAGCAGCAAATTTTAACATAACGAAGTTCTTGATATGGGCTATCAACATATTCTATTTTCATCTTGATAATTTCTTCATTCACTCAAGACATATTCGTCCAAATTGGCTACCAATTACAGGAGCATTTTTTTTTTGGCAAGGACAAGTAGAAACCAGCTGCGAATTCAACAGGCTGGAAGCTGGATATGGATAGGAAGAGAGTTTGTGTCCACTACTAAGGTCATTTCCATTTGAAGGAATTAATTTCTTGTTCATTATTTTTTCTGTATCTGAGGAGCTTTCTCTGCTGTTTTGGTTCAAACCCATTGATGACATGGTAGATATCTTAACTGAAGTGATTCTGACAAAAGTCAGTACCACTTGCCACATGTGGTCCGTAATATTGGAGGGCCAACTAGGAATATATTTTGAAATCACTCTCTATTTCTAAGAAAAGAAATGATAGCATAATTGGGGCCATGTTACTCTTAAAGCTTAATTGTTGCCAAATGGAAGGAAGACTATAATGTGCATACAATTCATCTTTAAAAATTACAAAAGAAATGTAATGCTTATATGAGTCAATGGGGCTGGAAAATTTAGGCAAGGATGTTTTATGGTAGTCATAGGTATCACGATCTTAGTTCCTTCTGAATCAGAAAATCAACTATGATTATCTATTTCATAACAATGAGAAAGTCCTTGAGCTTTAACTAGACTAGATATTGAAAAACCACTATCTATGGACTTATTCTTAGCTAGTATGATTCATTGGATTTGAGAGCTTAATGGTCGTTCAGATAACACATGTAAAGATAGATGTATTCACCTCATATTCAATTAGCATGTGATTTTAGCCAGCAAACGGGGACTTAGTAATTAGTATGTATGAAAAGGCAACATCTTGTGATTCTGTCTTGAAGTTTGGCTTGTGATTTCAATGTTAAGCTAGTTAGAAATGTGATTTTATAGTGCAATAGTTTATGAAAATCTTCTCCGGGCTTGTAATTAAGAGCAGAATCAGAAAATCACAAAATAGGATATGTTAGCAATGTCAAATTCTCAATATCAAATATCTTTAACATATATAGGCGCATCCTTGGGCGGGGCTGTACTAGTCTTAGGGAATTAGTCTGGCCAAATAAAGTCTGGGACACCCCTAACCGAAAAAAAAATATATATATATATCTTTAAGATAGGCGAATCTGAGATGTTTTGTTGTTGTTAGCAATGAATACCAGAGATGTATGGTAACTATGATGTAAACATGAGAGGAATCATGAAGGGAACCTTTGTTGAAGAATGTTTACATGAGATACAGGGTGCATTATACAATTAAGTTCTTTGATATAGCAAAAATTATTTTCCTTCTTGAACTTAAATGTAATTACGTTCCTTGAAATCATCTAGATGTTATGAAGTCATTCTAGATAGGAACTAATGTGACTTAATTAAGTACTACTTTCTGTATATGATTGCAAATGAACTACTTACCTTTCTTTCCATTTTTAGGATTAGAACACAACAAAAGAGAAAAAAAAAGGTTGATCCGGGATTTCAGATTAAAAACCTTCCAAAAAAAAAAGAATCCCTTGTTTAGGAAGTGGACCTATGTGGAATATAATTCTGCACAATGTGTTTTTTTTTTTTTTTAAAAAAAATTTCCTTCATAAAGTGCCCTAGATGTTCCTGCTTCATATATGGAAGTTAACTCTTTTTCCTTTTTTTTTTTTCTTTTTTACGCTTTGTAAACAGCTCCTATATCAGGCATAGCTCCTAAAATCCAGTAAGCATTTTCTTTTTTTTTTTTCCTTTTTTTGGTATAAAAGCTGTCAAAAAAGCATATTATGACATAGAGCCAATACTTATAAACATATTTCTTCTAAAAATCATCTTACAAAAATCACAAAAAAATAATAATTGGATATACTTGAATGCTAGTAGCATCACTCAATTGATTCATTAATTCACACAACAACAAATACACTTTGATGAGAGAAGCTTCAGTGATGCCCTTAGCTGGACCAAGGATACGTGTTATCATCTGATGACAATAGAAGCTTTAAAGTAGGAGGCAAAGATTAGATGTGCATGTGATCAAGTGTAACTTGGCAATCACATAAAATTAATAAGCTTTTATTGTTAGGGCTCCATTGAATCATTTGATCTTGAAAGATATCTTGGAGTTCTATAGTGTATCCCTGTTGATTTTTCAGATTTGTTGTAGATTACAGATCTATTTATACTTGTTGCATGTTTAATTGTTCTTTGATATTAATATAGATTTATTGTAATGAAATTTTTTGTCGTTTATCAAAAAACCTTTTAGTATTTGTTATGCCTTCGTCTTTGATAATTCTATTTTTGAGATTGTTTACTAGCGTCTAGAGTATAAGATACTATTATCAACTCTTATGGTATAAGGAATTGCAATTCTCGTTTGGAACCTGAAAAAATGTATGTACAGACCTTGCTGGCTTGCTCTACATTTAAGCCATTATTCAGTTTGCGAGGAGAGGGTTGAGTTGGGTGATTTAGGGTGAGAAGGTGTGAGCGAAAGATCCCAAGTTTGATACCTCCTACTCATGTTTAAAGGAAAAAGATATTATTCATTTGAAAAGAAAGTGAATCAAATTAAGTTACGTGCCTAAATTACTATACTCTTTCTCTTGTCTGCCTTATATTTTTGCACGAAGCTTAATTAGGTCTCGTTCTCTAATATTGGTTATTGGTACGATGGCAGAGTTAGGACCCTTATTGAGAGGGTGAAATAATTTTAGGTTGAAGTGATTTGTAAGCTTTTGGTACAACTTAGTGTTTATTAAAAATTTAATTGGCATGAACCAATTTATTCAGTATTACAACAACAAAATTAAAAGGCATTGTCTATGTAGCTTATTATTTACTATGTGCAGGAGTTTTCTAGTCATCTAATGGTATAAAATCATAGTTAATATTACGAACAAAATTATAAGGTGCACATTCTAAAATAGATAGGATAGGCAGATAATCTTCACAATTAAAATATTAAATAAATATCAAATTTGCATGTAATTCAATTTGTATGGTTGGGCATATAAGTGAAGTTCAATTTTAAGTAAAAAATATTTATTAGAAAGGAACAAAAATATCATGGTATTTTATTTGAAGCTTTGATTTTAAGAATAACTAGAGCAACTATAGAAAATTTCAACACTTTTGAGGGGCAATTATAGGGCTAGATGGAATATTTTAAAAAAATCAAGAGGGGCAAAAGTGAAGCAACACTAAAAAGCTAAAATGTTTTATAGGCCATTTTATAATTTTCAAAAATTTGAGGGGGTGCAATTGCAACCTCTTAAGAGAGTGTAGCTCCGCCCCCGATTGGTACCCATCACAGTGGGACATTGCATTTCCAAGTTGTTTTGGTGGCTTTATCTTTAACTTAGGGATTGCTAGTACTTGCCTGAATTGGAACAAGGGTCTAGGGCCAATAGGGGGGGGGGTGGATAAATTATAATCTCCAGGGCGAAAATAGAAATGGTAAAATGACTCAATGAAGCAGTAGTAGTAGTAGTAAAATTTAGAACTAGAATGATGCTTTCTCTTTCTGAGTTGAAATAGGCGGATTTTGCCCAGAAGGTAAAGATTCTGATCATTGGAGGAAGGTGGGGTCGATGCTTGCTAGATTTGGAAATGCTGGACCAGCCATGTGAGGCCTCGGTGGAAAGGGAGGATGTCATTTTGCTATTTGGATGAAACCATGAACCAGATTATTCGATACTCGTTCGAATTAAACTCACTGTAACGAGAGTTCGTTCGAACTTGGTTCGCTGATTAGTCAAGTCACACTCATTGTAATAAGAACTCGTTCGAACTTGATTCGCTGATTAGTCAAGTCAAATTTGAATAACGTTTTTATTCCTTAATATTCAAGTTCAATAAAATATTAGTTCAAACTTGATTTGACAAATAAACAATCTAAAATTTGAACAAAATTTCATTTGAGAAAAAAAAACAGACACATTATTCATTCGAAAAGTCGAAAAGAAAGCAAATCAGAACAAGATACGTGCCGAAAGTACTGTACTCTGTCTCCCATCTACCTTACACATTTTTGCACTAAGCTTAATTTGGTCTCATTCTCTAATGGTAGTTATTAGGACTAATTAGTCACATTGGGACATTGCACTTCCAAGTCGTTTTGGTGACTTCATCTCTAATAACAAAGCGATTGCTAGTACTTGCATGAATTGGAACTAGGGTCTAGGGATAATGAGTGGGTGGATAACTTGCAGTATTCTCTAGGGTGGTGAAAATAGAAATGGTAAAATGACTCAAATGAAGTAGCAGAAGAAGTTGTAAAATTTAGAAAATAGAATGATGCTTTCTGAGTTGCAAGAGGGCGAATTTTGCCAAGAAGTAAAGATTCTAATGATTGGAGGAGGTGGGGTCAATGCTTGCTAGATTTGGAAATGGCGGAGACGGACCAGCAATGCGAGCCCTCTGGGAAACGACAGGTATCATCTTACTTACTAACACCTGCCTGACGCTGTCAGTAGTAAATGTCTTTCCACGTCTTCTTTTTCTTTTCCTTTTTTGTTTTGGATTTCTAATAGGGTTATTATCACTTTACCCCTTAAACTATATCACAACTATCAGTTTACCCCATAACGTTATTTTTTAGTCCTTCACCCCCATAAGTAATTCAATTCAACATGTTAAGAAATTTCAGACAAAAATACCCTTTTATTCTATAGTATTACTACATTATTATTATTATTTTTTCCTTTAAATTATAGTGATATAATCGATTTAATTCCTAGCTTTATTTTCTGGAATTTTATTTCATCGTTAATCTAACTAGTATGGTAAAAAATTTTAAATTATTTACCCTTATATATATAATTAAAAATAAAAAATTAGAATGATTATTCTTCTTTTTTCACTTTAAGAGATCCAAAATATAAAAATAAAAGAGTTTTCTCAAATTTCTTTTTCACACTTATTAATATTAGGAAAAGAAAAAGAGATAGGAAAAAATGAGACAAAAATTAGATTTTGCAAAGAAAAAGATAAAAAAAAGTCTAATATTATCATATTAAATTAAGGTTGTTGGATTAGGATTGAAATCTGATGGTAAACAGTAAAGTGAAATAATTTTAAAATAATAAAAGTATTTAATTCTTTCTTATTTGTATTTTCTAAAAAAAAATTGAGCTCTCTCTATCTATCTCTCTTTCCCCCTCCTCCCCGTCCCTATCTTTCTATTTTTTTAATATTAATTTCCCAAAAAGAAATAAATTAATATTTTGACTTTTTTTATACTAAAGAGGAGAAGAACCACCTAAATTTTTTATTATTTTTATTATACAAAAATGAGGGTATTTTTTCTAAAGTTTTTTAACTTGTTAAGTTGGTTTAATTGTTAGATAAATGTCTAAAAAATAACTTTATGGGATAAATTGATAATGAGACTATAGTTTAGGGGGATAAAATGATAATAACTTTAAAGGTAAACTTGTCTTTTACTTTAATTAACAAACTCCGTTAAATTTGACCGTTAGTTTTAGAGATAAAGTAACTAAAAGATAACGTTAAGGGAAATTATAATGGCACCGAATGTTAAGGGGATAAAGTGATAATAACTTTCCAATATGCCCTTTTTTTTCTACCTATCTTTTTATTTTTTATTTTCATTCTTTCCCTATTTTTTAGATTAATCTTGACATTCATATGCTTCCATTTTGTACAACTCATCTAATTTTTTCTTAATCAAAGATTGAGGAGCTGAAGAAGACATTTTAGCTGTCATCTTCGTGCCTTACTAAATTTGTTGGATGTTTTCTCATTCTTGAAGAATATTACATCACATTCCATAACATGTAAACTCGGAGCCAGTTACAATTGAAGCCTATAAGTGAGCAGAAGACTCCATCTTCTGTCTCAAAGTCAGAAATAAAAATGCAAAACAACAAAGTATATATCCTTAATCCCAAAAAGAAACCATCTAAAAAGAAACCCCAAAATAACTGATAAAAAAAAAAGAAAACAGAAACGTGATCATAAAATATAAAGATCAAAAGAAAATTTCCAGATGCCCAAATTGTGCATGCAAGATTAATCCTAAGATAAATACTCACTAGTTGGTTTTATTATTTTGAAAACAAAGTTCAACTTTAGCCATTTCAAGTATAACATGAGAATTACTATAAATACTCAGATAAGTCAATATCTGTTTGACAGAGATAGACTTAGCCATGTTACTTTAAGGGTTTTTTTTAACAGATGTTATGTGACACTCGTTAACATACCTACATTCTACCTAATTTATTGTGTACATACACACACACACTAATGATTATTACTTTCTCTTACATTTATACAATTTTCCTAATTAATTTCCTTATATTTATATATTTTTTCTAATTAATCTTATATTTTTAAAAATCTAACACCTGAAATACATGTTAACGAGTGCTTACAGGATATTCGTTAGACAGACCGATATTTTAAACATCCTTATTCGAATGATTTTCCTGCGGACTAAATCTAATCAGCAAGAATATTATCATACACATACAGACATTGGTTTTTGCAATTTTGGTCGCTCAGCACAATTCTCTCTCTCTCTCTCTCTCTTCTAAATTAGAGCCCCTTTTTCAGTTGATATTTTTTGGAAGGATATCTCGACCTCTATCTCTTTTCTTCTGTTCTCATTAGCCTTCTGAGAATGGACATTTGTTTAGGAATATCCATTATCAGAATTGAGTATAGACCATAAAATATTTCGTGAGAGCCAGGGAAAATGTTCCTTTCTAGCAAATAAGTGTATAGCAATGCAGACCTTTAAGTTAAAGTTGTAGCAAGTAGCCACCAAAGCAGAATGTGCCTCAAGATTTTTCTCCTTGGATGCGGCCAAATTGGGGGACATGCTCGTGGAATTGGTATTCAACGTCGGACCCTACCACTTGGATCGGATGAGATGAGATGATCCTGATTCATTTTTATCATGATTGACCATCTAATTCCCTCTTGTCCTTGACAGGGGAGACTGGCTGAACAATTCCAATCTCCAGATGGAACTCGAATGTACCCCTTTCTTATCGTATATGACCAATTGACTACATATTATGAGACTAAGTTTTAAAAAAAAAAAAAAAAATTTCCACATTTTTGTATGGTAGGAAATGATCTTCTACAAAAGTCTAGTTTAGATTTGAAACGATGATGGTTCTCGGAAAATTGCATGTGGCTGTTATCTTTACAAGTAGGAAGGATTTTTAGAAGTCTAGAAGAGAAAAGATATGCCAAATCTTCACTTTTCTGTAGAAACAGTGAAAGGAGAAAACAAACTAAATCCACTCTTATCTGTTTGTCATAACATATCACATCATAGCAACAAATCAATAAATAAACAATCCTAAGAGAAACCTAATTCCGCACTTCTTTGTGACATTTTGATTTCTTCACTGATTGCACAAAGGGGCAAGTCCTTCAACAATTTCTGTCAGCCCTTTACTTAAAACTAAATGCACAGACATACATACCTTAGGATGTTGAGATTTCAAGTTGTACATTAGTACATGAAATGCGAATCTAGAAAACCCCTAAAAAAAAGAAAAAAACCCGACGAAAAGAAAACTTTTTGTTAAAAATATCATACATGAATCAGATGAGATCTACTATGTGGAGACTAAAGGAGGTGTTTGGTAAAAGTTTCAAAATAAGGAATATGCTTTATTCCAAACGATTTAGTTCGTTACATTCGTATCTCAAAAGACGTTGTATAATATTTATTGAAGAATTCTTAATACGATGGTTTCTTAATAAGGCGATAAATCATTCCACCTTCTCCTATATATATGAAGTAAAACTTCAATCCCATACTAAAAATTTAAGGATTATTTCCACTTCGTACTCTTGGACTTGTACTTCTTTCTCATTTTGCATCCCAGGCTTACAATTTTAAGGGTACTTTGCACTCTAACTTCTCATATTTGTCTCACTTAAATCCTATTGATCGACGTTAGTCATAGGAAACTAACAGAATAGAGGACTTGCACACGACACGAACCTAAACCACTTTACTGGATAGCAGTATAATATCATCATCTCACAATCCCTATTAGTCATGCAAAAAGGTGAATCATTTGTACAGCCCTTCGTTCCTTCGATGTTGCTAAAGTCATTATCAATTGGACTTAAAAAGATACAAATACGAGAGAGTTTAGAATGTAAAGTGACTAAAATTGAAATCTAAGTGCAAAGTGAAAATAGAGCCTCAGTTTGGAGCACAAATTGAAATTAGTCCAAGATATACCATGGGACAAGGGCTGATAAATCCCACCAATCTCACATTAGATGAGTTTTTTTTCACTTTTGTCCATTCTTAAAAAAAAATTCACACTTGAGAAACACAAACCAAAATGCTGTTTTACTTTTGGAAGCAACGTCTTGAGGAGGTAGTCGGTTTTGTCCTTTTCTGCTTTAATTGGTTTCCTATGAAGCAAAACTAAAAGTGTAACGAGACACTATAGCTTTGTGGATAAGATAATAAATCATCTTATCTCCCCGTGCAAATTGACCACAGACTGTCGGTACCAATCATTAGCTGGTTAACCAAAGCAAGATCTTCCCATCAACTTTTTGAATTTCGTGAGCACAAGTTTGGATTTAATAACAGTTGTGAAAAATACTACTGTTAGATTTTACCCAAATGATCGTTCTTTCTTTCCCAAGAACATTTCTAAGCATAATTTCCACTATTTTCTTCAAAAAAGAATACAAAAAAAAAAAAAAATTTTGTCTAGGTAAATACAAACTTTAGCAGTTGAAGATCACTGCTCAAAGAATAGTGGATAAGTAGACAACTCAATCATGGAGATGGAGGCTCTATATTACCCAGAACTTTCAATACTAGGCCCACCGGGGACACCGCATTGTAAAATGAAATTGACAGATCAACTGACA